GCAGACATACCTTTTGCCCAGGAGCCACTTCATGACAATCCAGTGGGACAGCACGCGGCCCAGGTGCTACTTCATGGGAGGAAGGAGAGCAGAGTCCTTCAGAGGCCTGAGAACATGCAGCCTGTCCAAGAGCTTTGGATTATTAAGGCTGTACAACTACTGTTTTGGAAGGGAAAAAAAAGCTTTTGCTTAAAATGAGTTTTACTTGTATGCTGCACTGGGGTTTAAAAAAAGAAGGGAGGTAAAACAGTCATGCATGAAACCTAGCTGTTCAGTGTGGTATTTATTCTCACATTTGGTAAATGCCTTGGGAAATGCTATTTTCTAGAGCTCCAGCCTTTTATTTTTTGCCACACCACAGTTTATACAAATTTGCTTTAACAGTAACCTCAGCAGAGCATTCTTCTTTCTAACAGATGCTTCAGAACAGCTTACTTTAGACACCGCCTGCAGAACACCCTGCAGTTCCTCTCTGAAAGAACAGATGTGATCTCGAGAAAAAAAAAGAGATGGAATATTTTGGCCTGCCTTTTTGCGTGTGTGTGTATTTCTCACGGGTCTGTATCTACAGAGAATATATCCTGAGAGAAGGGCTTTTTTTTTTCTTTTTTTTTTTGTATCTTTATGTATCAAGCAAACAAAGGACTTTCATTTCATGATCACCAGATATTCACATATGACAAAAAGTAATGAATAAAGATCCTCAATCCTAAATTTAAGTATGCAGAGTTAAAACCATAGTGACATTTTAAGGATTCATAAATTAAAATGCTTTTACAAATCATCAAGGGCCTGAACTCTCTCTTTGAATATTACTGAGCCTCAACTAGACACATTTCTTCGTTCAGCTTTCTCACAACATTTACCTAGCTACACTTGCCAGCATGGTTTGCCAAATTAGAAAAACTTCTGCTGAAACCATCTGCTTGACATTGCTTACATATAATAAAGTATCACTTGATTCAATGTATTGGAAATGTTTAGAGATCTTTACATGGGAACCGAAATCAGCAGTGCTGACTCAGGCAGATCTCCCACTGATGTTGGTGGGAATTGTACCTGAGCGAGCACGGCTGGATGCGATACAAAGCTCCCTGCACAGCGACTGCTGCCCAGGGACGTGAGAACATATGGTTATAATTTAGCAATACCAACCAAAGAAGAAATGAGAAGGAAATTTTATAGCATTCCTGGCTTGCTGCTCTTTTATAAATATCAGGAACACTCAAATGATTCATACATACCTGCTTCTGCAACATTTTTTCCCAGAGTCAAGCAAAACTACTGCAAAGTTAGAAAAGTTTGAGGCTATACAGAAGGATTTAAAGCTGAGAAAAATTAAATGGAAAGTATAAAATCAAGTTTTAGAGTTCTCTATGCACTGTATTATATTACCTCTGGATAAGAATGCAGACATTTTAGTATGTTTTTCTTGGTCCACAGCGAAGCAGAAATAAATCCTTCTTAGTCCTGGCTTTACCAGGCTAGTGGTAAGGAAACAGGTATGACTGCTGCTACACCAAATTTTGGCTTCTCAAATTTGACCCCAAATCTAGGTTTTATAAAACTACAGTTTTAATTAATTCTAAAAGCTGAGTGGTACAGAACCAGAAAATATCACTGATATTTTTGTGCTTTTAAATTGTGACTGCAAAAGTAGCATTGCTAAATGGTTAAACCAAGTCTCCCCTCTCCCAGAAGCTGAAAAAAGATGAACAGCAGCAACACTGTAAGAAGAAGGAGGAAAAAAATAAAAAAAAAGAAAAAGAAAAGCTATAATATATTTACCCAAAACTCACCTGCATAATGTTGACGTAAGAGACCTTGTACTGTTAAGGAAAACCCTATTTTAGAGGCCAAAGCCCAAAGAGCAGGTGAAATATTTGTTGCAAACTGCTAATTAGCAAGTGCCAGTCACCAAGAATTAAGTAACAGAGTGGTTACAGGTGTGGGTCTTTTTTTTATTTAATTTAATTACTTAATTTATTTATTTAAACTTTAAATATCACAAGGGCAAGCCCTGTGCTTTGCTCTAAGCAGTTTCTGTTACTCTTAGCACATCAATCAGGAGGATACTTCCAGGCCATGCCTAGAAGAACTGCACTCCTCATGCTCATACACAAGGACATAAATGCTGAAAACTATTGCAGCTATTGCCCGTGTTTTGTTCTGAGTTGAAAGCTTGAAGTAGCGGAAATTAAAAATACATATGCAAGATAGGTCTTACTGCAAAACCCCTATCAGTGCAGCTTTACAGTAAGTAATCAACCTCTCAGTGAGATGTATCCCTTGGGGTGGACTCCTGGACAGGTATCTTGCTACAGTCAAGCTTGAAGATAACCTTGATAGAGGAACAAGAAGTTTCAACTGTACAGGTTAAGTAATTATTATAATCTGGGCTTTGGCTTTAGCTGAAACAGAGGTCAATGCGTTATTCTGCAATGCCACCTTATAAACTATTGCTCAACATGCTCCAACAGCAGACAGTAAAGAATGTTTGCATTCCAGTGAAGTGGACCTTGAGGATCAACGAGAGGAATGCACCAACCAGGCTGGAATTCAGCAAGATGATGAACTTTATCTTTTTCAGCATTTTTTTGAAGAAAATATTTTGACTACTTATTTAGCCTCACTGTTGCGCTCAGTCTTAGCAATATCGATGGGCACTCTGCTTTTCTTAAAGCCTCTCAGAGGAAGATATGTTTATGCACAAACAGTTAGCAGGAATACTGAGTATCACTGATTTCCTGCATGGCATATCTTCCTCTACAGGAAAACTAAACTGAAAAGATTTTAACCCTTGAATGCAGGGCCCTAATCCCATATGAAGAAGAAGATCTCATTCACAGAATTACAACAGTGCAGCTAAGGAGAAGTTAAAAGAATCAAACTAGTGTTTCTAAATGTTAGAAAATAAGTTTGAAAGTTAAAATAAGGAGATTTAGCATTGGCATTGTGTCCCTTTAAAAGTTTAGAGGAATGACTACAGAAGAAGCACCAACTGAAATTCCAAATCCAATTGCAAATTAACCAGGTTAATTAGCATACAGATATACTCTTAATTTATCTCACAATATAAGTTCACACTTAACTGTCACATTAAAAAGGTTTTTGCCTGGGTCAAGTTAAAAAACAGAAAAGACCATATTTAACAATTGCATTATTAAAAGGAACAAGAAGTCTAATTATAGCCAGTACAGCACTGATTTTAGGAGATATTTACCTAAAATATATTTCAGTGATGAAAAAATTAGACCTATCAGGATTATCATTACTATGCCACTCCTATACAGCTGCTTACCTTGCTCCTGAGTGATCACTTGACAATTTTTTAAATTTGGACAAGTTACTGCCTCCTCATTTCTCCTCCCTCCTATGTCCCTAATGAGAAAAAAGGTTTTATTTAAAGAAACCAGGAAAAGAAAGAGAAACTTAGAGCACAGCAGTAATTCCCTCCTCTTTGCAACACTAAGGTAAAAATACAACATGTAACTCTGGTACTCAGTGAAAGCAAGTCCAGCAGTAAGTTGATGCTGTAGTAAGCATGCAGGGTTAAGCTCAGAGCAGCAAATACTTGTTAGTCCATTTACAATATCTCTCAGTTACCTTGCCTGGTTGCTTCCACGCTTGCTTGTAGACTTGTATCTTGTCAGTCAGAAAAGGGAAACGTAATTCTTCATCTCAGGGTAACTGAGAGCAGGCAGCCACCCGGATGTCCGTGGTTGTGCCTGTTTCAGCAGTGGTCCAATTTCAGCTTACCTCAAAAGCAGGTTGACCGAAAGCCTGACCCCACTGCTCTGGACCGAGTCTCCAAGTGCGGATTTACGTGGCGGAACCTAACCAGAGATGTGCTCAAGGCCCCGGCGTGGGCAATAAGGGTACGCACAGCGCGTGGCTGCGCGCTCCCCGCAGCCTCCCCATCTCCACCCGCGCTGCGCTTCCGAAGCAGCGACGCACAGAAGCGCGCGCAGAGCTGCAGGAGGACTGAACCTCAGCTCTGCGTGCAGTCCTGTGTGTAGCTGACAGCTCAGCAAGGCAGACAGGAGCTTTATTTTGGACAGTAGACTTTATTAGAAATTTTCTCCTCATTCATCAGTAAATTCACATTAAAATATGCTGAAGGCAGCTCAGTCTAAACATTCGACCTCCTGCCATAACAACAACTTCCAGTTTAAAAACTAGATAACTGATCAGGCAGATAAATTGAAACATGTAAGAAATGCAAATAAAAAGCAGCATCTTAAAATGGGATGAGCCTGAAAAAATAATACATTTCAGGTGGAGTTGGGGAAAACAAAACCCCCCAAGTCCCCCCAAGATGGGAAACAGTAAATGAGAACTCCACAAACTCTAAACAGATAAATAAAAATTATAACCACACATACATTAAAGAAAGAACCAAGTATTTAGAGTTCATACCACATAAAAATTATTAATTTGTTCAAATAAAAAAGTGACAAGCTTTCTAAAATACAAATATCCTAAAATCTTGGGATAGTGAACACTTCATTATAAACTGCAGAGCTTTTTTGGAGGGATAAGATTTGGTCTTGAAAACAACAGACTGTTTCTTACTGTTACCATAGCCAAGAACAGAGCTTTCAGACCTGTGTACCATTCTTTCCTCTCATGTTCTTAAATCACACGCTCTCCTTCTGGACAAAAATCTCTTTTTTTTGTGATAAGATTTTTTAACGTTATAGACCTGATTACGTTGAATTCTGAACATTCAAAGCTCTTAATTCTGGTTTAACCGAAGTTTAATCATTTTTTCAGAATTTACTTATGGAGATTTTTCCTTTGCTAATTAATTCTATAAGGAACGTGTGTATGCATACGTGTGGGGAAGAGAGGGAGAAAAATCACACTACTGAAGAATGCTCTGTCCTGCATGAGGATGGGTCCTGCAAGACAGACTTTCTGTTGGCATGGGTCAGAGTCCGCGGAGACAAACCACTCGGTGCCAGCTGAGGATAACGGCCTTCGGGACTGCAAACACAACAGGCAACAGAGAACTCAGGAATTTAGAACAAACCAATGCTTTCACATTCTTGAAATCCCCCCAGTGATCTGCTATCACTGGTTCAGAAAAAAATATATATTAAAAATTAAATAACACTTATGTGTCCATCATGAAGATTAATATTTTGTTGTAAACAATTTTTCTGCCACTTGCATTGATTTAGTCCAACGTGAGGCCAGAGGGTTCTAGATGTCTTATTGATACTGTAAATAATTTTTCAGAGATAGAGGCAAAGGTAGAATTTCTATGTCATGCAGGCGGTCTCTGCCCAGAGCAAAACGAATTGATCGTCGGCACAAGTCCATTAAAGGCAGGGGTTCAGCTGAAAAACATGGAAGAAAGATAACAGTTAATTTTTCAGTATCTCTACTGACAGTGTTTAATTCATTATTAAATAGATTCTGTATTGTACTAAACAGCCAAAATACAGTTCTGGTATTGTGGAAAAAAGACAACCTTGAGGCAGCTAAGATCATTTATCAACAGAAGTAGAGACAGATTTTATGTTTTCACATGTAATAAGCGAGTGCAAAGTTTCAGACAGTTTCCTTATCTATAAAGCTTAAAATAATCCAGAATCACTCTCGAGACTTCCAGCAGCAGAGCAGGTTATTGCATTTCCAGATTTCTAACAAGACAAAGAGCTTCTGCTTCGCTCATAAGACAACATTCTTCATGTTTCTGTTCCTGCGAACTGAACTAGCAACTTCTGACCTTACCTACCAGCCCTTTCTGTGTCCTAGGAACTGGAAATGGTGTTTACGAGTAACTGAACTTCTCAGCAAACACTACGTTTTTCCTAACACTTCCTTAGCCTTTCTTAATAAGAACTTTATTGGAAGAAAAGAAAAACTCTTAAAAAATGATGGGAAATTTAACCTTTTCTCCCAATAATAAATTGGGGCGAGGGGAGGATTCAGCTGACCAGGGAGCACACTGTGTGGGGCTGTGTTCTGTCTGATACCTATAGAAACAGCCCCTAAACATATTAACACCTTCCGATGCTTGGAGTGTAGCTTAATAGGTGTGAATTAAGTGTCTGTCAGAAATGCCTGACTAAGAACACTTAAGATTGGAGACCCAAGCACACGATCAGCAGCATCTCAAACCACCCATCTTGTATCCTACCCCAGGCTACAGAATTCCTGTGGAAATGCTACAGGATCAGCAGGTGCAGCCCGGACAGCCCGCGACGGCATCATTTGAAGTCTCTGCCCCCTTACATCTGCCTTGAACAAGAGCTTTAACCAGATGGATTCAGTTCTTGGTTTCAAAGGAGAACAGTTGTAAAGACTACAGGAAAACAAACAAACAAGCAAGCAAACAAACAAAAACTTTACAGAAAGAAAAGCTTTTTTAATAGCTTTTTAAAATCATAGGAAGACTTTCGAATAACAGAAAAAAAAGTCCCTCTCATGCCTGTATCACTTTTTAATACACTTGACAGATTAGTTAAAAGCCCTCAGCATTGCACTGCTCTCTCAGTGCTTCTTGCAAGAGTTCTTGCAAGTACCACATGTAGATTTACACATATCGCATATTAATCCACCAAACCTTTAGCTAATACACAAATTAAAGATTTAAAGATTTACTAGCAAGTTTAAGGATTGCTTTTGTACATTAAAATTTTGTGTTCTGCTGACATTTGATTGACTTCATAGATTTTCAGGTACTTACCAAATTGTGTTTGATACGAATAGTCTGCAGTTAAGTACAGCGGTTTCCAAAAATGTCCCATGAAAAGCACTACTATTCTACGGTATGCTGAAAGGTTAAAAATGATATTTACTTTTGTAACCAATCAGTGGCTCAGATGCAGGATCTACTTCTCCATAAAGTCCACTTCTACTTGAATTAGAATTTTGGCTATGAAAAGATTAAAAAATTTTCTCTCATTCCAGTAACAAAGCACAATTTTCTATATACTGTTGTAGTCATATTTTTTATTTTTGCGTACCAGACTTACAGACATCAAATTTTAGGGAGTGAAGCTATAAAATGATAAGTAGGAGCAAGAGTAGCTCTTGATTTCCAGACCCAGAATGCAACACACATCCTACAGGTCTCACATGATAAACAACAATTTTCCAAGCATCTTCCCAGAATCTCTGAGGTCCCATAAAGAAGATGTAAAGTAAAGATTAACAGTGTTTTAAACCATTAACTGCTCATGTGGTCTCTTTTTCTCTTAAACAAAGGAATATGCAAAATGCAGCCATCTGTGCAACTGTTCAGTGGGCAGAACTAATCCCAAACTTGAAAATATAATTTAAGGAAAGGTTGGGATATCTTCTGAGTTTGAAATGCTAAATGAGCATCTCCTGTCTTACTCATTCCACAGGGAATTTACAAATGCTACAGAAAATGCTCCTAAGTGCTTGCAGCAGCTGCTAAATTACATGTACTGATTACGTGTTTGCAACTCGAAAATTTAACTATATGCTTTTATTCTCCTCTATATGCAACAGCAGATAAAACTTCTAGGAAAATTAGAACAGATCTGGTCTAGAATACAAACAAAAGTTATGTTTTTTGGCGGGGGGAAGGGTGTTGCTTAAGAGCTTGAAGGAAAATATAATATAGCACTTTAAGTAAAAGCTGTGCAGCTGTGGGTAATCCTACATAATAAAAAAATGAACTCAGCAAAAAACATCACCTTTAGGTTTTGAAATGGTTTATCTGGTGAATGTAAAACTAAGACTGAAAGTTATCAGACAGTCTAACTCAATGGAATCTACTGTCACTGCCCCTTTGCTGTACACCGTAATGCGAGCGCTCTCCCACTCAGCGCAGCGCTCGGCTTTCCGGGTTTTACAGATATAAAAATTCACGGGTGTTACAAAATACTTGGTTCCTTTGGAAAGGAAAAGTTCAACCACCTCCAGGACAGCCACACCACACGTACAGCCGTGATGCACCCAGACCATCCAGAAGCACTAGCAGTATTTCCAAACTGAGATTTCCACTGGCATTAGAAAGGCTACTAAGATCATAAAAAAATAACGCCGAGGAGAAAATGTTCTAACTATGCCAAGATGGGAGAGGAATATTCTGAAACCGTAAATTCAGCCATAAGTTTAACTATGGAAAAAACAGTCTCCTTTTGGAGCATTAAATATTTACCTTGGAGAAAGAAAAACTTAGAGATCTAAAGATATTAACTAACTGATGTACAAGGCTTGTTGCTAGAAAAAACCGTATTTGAGAGCATTTCTCCAATAAAGCAATTGCAATAGCAATAAAGCAATAGCAGCTCTCGCATCAGTAAAGGCTGAAATATTAATTTAGCTTTGGCGACCTGAAGTCGTTTAACAATCTGGCCCTCCAACAAGGATTCCTCATCTTTCTCAATGTGCATTTATAATGAAGATACCGCTCAAGTCATCTAACATCCAGTAACGCTATTGGTATCAACTGCAATGTTACATAATGCTTATATTTATGCAAAGCAGCTTTTAGCACATGACTGCCACCTGCCACATGTTAATGCTCATTTTTGAAATGAATTCTTAAAGTTATGAGAACGTGCAACATTGTAAGGTTCATTGCTTTCATTACTCTATAAAACTCTGGTTGTAATCTTATTTTATTAATTTCTACTTGTGCAGGGGTGGGGAGATGGCTAATCAAAACAAATTTAAAGCTGGTGAAAAAATTAAGCAATTTTCTGTGAAAATCACTTCTTACCAGAAATCAAGTTACTAAGTTAGTTATTTTGTAGCCCTAATTAAAATACCACGTTACTTTGTATTTACAGTTTTTTTGCCTTGAAAACATAATAAAACACACTCCTGTATTCAGTGATATTTCATATATGTGATGACTTCCAAATGGTGTAGACAGCTTTGTGTAAAAGTCATGTCACCACACCGGAGCATTGGGTCCCATATTCCCCTAGATCTGAATTTTCTCCCTTTTTTCCCCCTAAATACTAAAGCACCTGTTAGAGCATTTCAATGGGCACTTCAATGACTAAGTTTCCCCATTAGGATGAAGTGAGGCATAGTGGGATTTGCAACTACCATTTAATTATCACTTACAATAAATATACGGCGAGCAGTTTTCCTTCCCAGCTTTCTGCCAAAGCTTAATTATTGTTTTAATTTTATGCAGTAAGGACCAAATTCATTCTCCCACATAAGGCAGTGCGTAGATACAATCCTCTGGGCATTTTTATGGCTTCCTTGATGCAACTAATGGAAAATCTGACTCATGTTCCTAAAATGGCACCTTCTAAAGAAAGGAAATTGCAAATAATATTTTAAATAACACAGGCTATGACCAGACATGAAAAATATTAATAAATCTCCTAACGGCAATGAAAATTTAGGCAAGGCATAACATGATAAAACAAATCACTTATCTTTTTCCCCACAGATGTCTTTCAGCAATGCAGCCCACCACAGTTAACTGTACAGAGGAAATACCTTCCGACACTCCATTTAACCACAGCTCAGGTGCTCCAGGAGAATCACCACTCACAGGAACCCCCACTCGAACGGCATCACGGGGCTTTTTGGGAATTGTTGTAATGTTCCCCTTACTCCACACTACTTGTCTCCCGGCGAGCACGAGGCTCCCAGCAGAGCAGGGCCGGGCTCCCGCTGTCCTGGAGTCCCAGGGCCCCCGGGCGCTGCTCCCGCCCTTGCTCCCAAGGTCTGTGATCTCCGATGAGGAGGACACAGCGCTTGGATGACTGCTCCTGACTTAGGAAAGCACCAGAGCACATAGCCGAATCCAGTAAATTCCATAAATACTTAGATGTCATGTTTAAAGATTTCAAGCCAGTAGACTTAAGCGTACACCTAAATCCCTGGAGTTACAGGGGTGTTCTCCCTACAAAAAGAATTTGTATGTCTGCATTTGTAGGAAGACTGGATATTGGAAATCACACATATACCTGTCACAACCTTCTTCTGAGATGCTCAATGTGCTTTACAAATATCAACTCACTGCACTCCCTGCAAGAAGCAAAGACTATTAAACAGTATTTATTTTACTAACTAAGCAGCGGCAGCAAACAGGGGTGAAAGGCACTGGCTGGAGGTCGCATGTGAAGTCTGCAAGAGAGCTCTAAGCACCAACCCCTACCTGAGCACTGGGAACTCAGGCAATGGGAGCAGATACTCACTGATCACCCCTGGAAGTAAATAACCAAAGGCAGCTGCTTCTCCCTTTTAGCCTCCCCTCTCTTCCCCCTCAAAGAAAGAAAAACAAATGCCTTAACAGACTCTTCTCATTCGCAGCCTAAATTGTGAAAATTTTAAGGCAAGTACAACAAATGGAAATGAAGCAATTTATGGTATGAATGCACCTAAAAGA